AAAGAAAATTTAAAAATCACATATAAACAAAATGCTGTCCCCTCCAGGTTTTTGTTTTCATCCATTTCCTGTTTTCTTCATTTATTATAGTATCCTGAGCATTTTCCTCAGATTAAACAACACTATTTTTAAATTTAACTTTTGATGGCTGCATAGCATTCTTTCATTGTGTATGTGATCATTTAATACATTTCTTCAGATGTATGTATATATGTGTGTTCTGCTCTTAGACATTGTATCAATATCCAAGTCTTTTTCATCAGTACACCCACTATTCACTTATCAACTATTTTGGTACCTGAAACTTTGCATTTCCAACAAAAGCAAAAAATCTACTATCTGGCTATTTTGTGTATTAATGATGTACATCTGGCAGTAATAAACGTTGAGGTGTGAGGCCAGGTAATGCTGGCTATGATAGTTAAGGTTACCTGTCAACTTGCCTTGGACCATATTTCTCAGTGGTTTGGCAATTGTGTAATGATATAGTCATCTTTCATTTTGTGATCTGATGTGGCCAACCTCCATTTACACATTATGCAAATTTTCAATACTGACCTGGATTTTGGAATGTAGCCATGTCAATAAGTGAGGAGTGGGTGTATAACAAATCTTTATTCTTTCTTCTTCACCATTACTAAAGTGTTCGCATTTCTTTCTAAATCTGCTCTATTTAGAAAGAATGAACTATTCCTTGAATGTTTATTAGATTTGCCTCCTATCAACAGAGGAGATATTTTTTGTCTGTTTATAGATGCACTGATATCAACCCTAAGGCAGCAGCTTGCACTCTGGAGACAGCACGCTGTAACAAAGTTCATATTCAACCTGTGATTACGGATTTGGTAAGATGTTAACTCCTGTCCAGTAATAATAAATTGCTTTTTCAAATAAGGTCAGGATTCTTTATGTCAAATTTGTGCATTAAACATTAACTCAACTAAGCAGTATGGCACATACAAAGCATATTCTTGACTGATGTACAGTTGTCAAGAAAACATTGCATTATGTTAAGAGTGAAAGCAAAGGAGTTTTATTAATAACGCTTGAGCTGGGCAGCACTAAGTGAAAATATAAAGCACTTAGCAACTTAAGTGGATAAAGGGATCTATAAACAAACAGAACAAAGGAAAGGTAGGGGTTTAATGACTGATTATAGATGCTCAACTTCATAAAAAGTCCACCACTTGGCTAGGAAGAAGTGAGTTACCACCTAGCTGCATGGTGCTAGCTGGTTCAGTTATACATGATTGCAGTCATGAACACATTTCTACCCCCACTCCCACCACCACCACCACCCCCCAAGATCAAATTGTTTATATCTTAACATATTCTTCCCATGAATGAAAGATTTATATTCTGACCTTGTGCTTTCTGGAATGCATGTTGGCCCTGTCATTCTTACATCTGACACAAGTGCCTCCAGTTTGAAATTTTTTCTTTTACACAATCCATCTTCTACATAGTTCAAAAGAAATGTATTTTGGCTTGTATTTGTCAGGCATCGTTTGGTCAAAAGTGACAGTTAATTCAACTGGCTTGAATAAAAAGGGGAATTTGTTTGGTTTCTGTCACTGGAAATCCCAACAGTCGTGGCTACAGACACTCAAATGATATTACAGGCATATGTTTCTTAGCTGTGAGATCTCTGGTGGCACTACTCCTTGGCAGCAGTTCATTTTTGTTAACAAGGTGCTTGCATATCTATATCTTCTTTCTTAGCCACCCCCACCTGCCCAAGGACAGATACTCTTTCAACTCAGCTATTATTCTAATCAATTATTCTAGCAAATAGCACCAGAATGTGTATTAATTTAACCAACATGTGTTATGTACCAATCTCTCAAATGCCCACTGTAGCCAAGGGTATCAGAATATGGGGATGGTTAACTTGTTGTTGTGAAGTACCCGCAGGTTGGTACCAACTCATAGTCACCCTATGCACAACAGAACGAAACACCACCTGATCTGCACCAACCTCACGATCATTAGTACACTTGAGCCCATTCCTGCTGCCACTATGCCAATACAGCTCATTGGTGGTCTTCTTTTTCTCTGACCTTTCACTTTACCAAGCATGATGTCCTTTTCCAGGAACTGCTCCCACCTGACAATATGTCCAAAGTATGAGGGACAAAATCTTGCCATCTTGGCTTCTAAGAAGCATTCTAGTTGTACCTCTTCAAACACATTTGTTTGTTCTTCTGGCAGACAGTGATACTTTGAATATTTGTGTGCAACACCGTAACTCAAATGTATCAAATCTGCTTTGATTTTCCTTATTTGCTGTCAGTCTTTCACATTCATGTGAGGTTAATGAAAATACCATGGCTTAGTTCAGGCGCACCTTAGTCCTCAAACTGACATCTTTGTTATTGTACTCTTTAAAGAGGTCTTGTGCAGCAAATTTGATTAATTTCTTGACTGCTGTGTCCATAATTACTATTGAAACATATGTGTATTATGGGTAGAACATAAAACATTTAGAGGTAGAATAAATTAGGATGGTTTTTTTTTCCTTTTAACAGATGAGAAAACTGAAAGTCACATAGCTAATAAAGTGATAAACCCAAGACTTAAACCAAGATCTGAATCCCAATCTAGAGGCCCCACTGTTATTTAGGGCAAGAGTGATGGCTGTCCATGCCAGTAGTAGTTCTTCACTAGTTAAAGTTGACCAACCAAAATACTGAGTACTGACTTGAGACAAATAAGCAAGAGATAGGCTTCAGATAGGTATAATCAATTTACAAAACTCTACATTCAGAATACAGTACACAAATTACCATAACTATCATGTACAATAAAATCGTTTAAAAAGTAATAATTTAATTGTTGTAAAGAAATAAAAAATCCTCACCACTAGACCAATAAACAACATCCATATAAATAGAGAAAAGATTGAAATGTCAAAGACTTTATTTTGCTCAGATCAACCACGAACACTCATGGAAGCAGCAGTCAAAAAATCAAATGACATATTGGATTAAGCAAATCTGCACAAGACCTCTTTGAAGTGTTTAAGAGCAAAGGTGTCAATTTGAGGACTAAGGTGCGCCTGACCCAAGCCATGGTATTTTCAATAATCTCATATGCATATGAAAGTTGAACAGTGAATGAGGAAAACCATTGAAGAATTGATGCTTTTGAGTTATGGTGTTGGAGGAGACTATTGAAAGTACCATGGACTGCCAAAAGAACAAACAGATTGGTGTCGTAAAAAGTACACCCAGAGTGTTCCTTGGAAACCAGGATAATGAAACTTCGTCTCTCACAGTTGGGACATGTTATCAGAAGGGACCAGTCCCTGGAGAAGGATATCATGTTTGGTAAAGTGGAGGGTCGGAGAAAAAGAGGAAGACCCTAACTAGATGGATTGGTACAGCAGCAATGGACTTAGGCATAGCAGTGATTGTGAGGTTGGCCCAGGCAGTGTTTCAGTCTGCTGTGCCTAGGGTCACTATGAGTCGGTCCCTACCTGATGGCATTTAACAACTTTCATTGTATTTTTAGTTTTACAAGAAAGTTTTCCTTTAAATTTGTGCTACACTTTTCCTTATATTCTAAAACTAAACACAACTATACCTTTGATTGACTCAGGGTCATTGACAGGAATAGTTACTCTGTGACACGTGGTAATGAGTCCTCATGTGGTACTGTATGATTATGCGCTGGACCAAAAGGTCAGTTTGAAATGCTAGGTCAGTGGTTCAAACTCACCAGCTGCTCCTTGGAAACCCTATACAGGGTCTATGAGTCAGAACTGATTCAGCAGCACTTAACAACAACAACAAGACCTATTCAAGAATGTTTGCCTGAATAAATAGTTGTAGTCTTACTTTTAGTTTTAATTTTCTTTCCTTTTGTCTATTCTAAATGTACTATGTCACCATTGCTTATCGATAGCATTTTCATGTGTTTGTGCTAGAAAACCAAACAACCAGTTTAGTACACTTGTACTTGTTTGTGTGTGTTTATGTGTGTGTGTGTGTGTGTGTGCATTACCTGGCTTAAAATTCTGATTATTGTTAAATACATTTAGGTTAAAGGTTTGCTACCAAGATTGAAGGAAAAAGTTGATCTTCTGGTGTTTAATCCTCCCTACGTAGTGACTCCACCTGAAGAGGTAAGCCATACAACAAAATTTCATGCTTAATATTTTCAGTTCTTTTGTTTCTAAAATCAAATGAACTTCATATGAGCTGCTACTACCACAAATTGCTGCAGTTTTGCTCCTGTCAGTAATCGGGTGCTATCGGTAGACCCTATACAGGGTTGCTAAGGAGCTCTGGTAGCGTAGTGGTTATGAATCGGGCTGCGAACCTTAAGGCCAGCAGTTCGAAACTACCAGCCGCTCCGCAGGAGAAAGATGAGGCGTTCTGCTCCCGTAAAGATTTACAGCCTCGGAAACCCTGTACAGGGTCACAATGGGTCAGAACCGACTCGACGGCACTTAACAACAACAACATACAGGGTTGCTATGAGTTGGAATCAACTCAGTGGCACTTAACAACAACAATTGCTAGGCAAAGGAAGGAAACCTATAAGTAATGGAATTCATTCTTTGACATATTCCTAGAAATCCTGCCCAAATCAGGACATTGGTATTTAAATAGTCTCTCTTTCTCTATTTCTCTGACACACACACATATCTTTTATCATGACTGACAGATTTGCAAAATCATCTTAATCAACCTTAAGTTCACATTGAAAATTTTTCTGAAAGTTTCCCACTCTCCAATTATGGAGCTGTGTGTTAATGCACCAGACTGCAAAGCCGTTTGAACAGGGTCGGTGGTTCAGGCTCACCAGCCACTTCTTGGAAACCCTATACAGGGTTGTTATGGGTTGGAACCGACCCAATGACACTTAACAACAAAAACAATGACCATAATAAAACAGATTTCCTCCTTTAGAGCTATTACCAGAATGTGGAAGAAGGGAAGCAATTCTCATTTCAGATAGAGAAAATAATTATCTAGAAATTTATGATGAAATCTCAATAATTAAGTAAATCATATTAACCATTTCCATGTTTAAAGAGAGAATAGTCAAGGCAGATAAGGTTTAATGTTGTATTAAAGCTAGTTTTTCTTTTAATTATTGTGCCTGTTTTATTCTTTGATCTTCACATTTTGGCAACAATGATAGATGTTACATTCTTTTCCACCCAGATGGGAAAGATCTATATAGTTGCTAATACTACTAATGGCAAGGAGCTCTGGTAGCGTAGTGGTTA